AAAAAAAAAAAAAAAAAAAAAAAAAAAAAAAAAAGAAAAAGAAAAAGTACAAAGATTACTCTAAAGGCAATAAGGCCAAAAAGAAAAAAAGCAAAAGAACAAAGTTTTTAGTAGTCACACAGATAGATTTCTAATCAAAGAAAGACCCAAAGAGTGTTCAAGGCTATCTTATGATGTCTGAAAAGCACTCCTGTTTAAGGAGAAAGCCAGATTTATTATGCTGTTGACAGCATGAATATTTGCAGTATACAGTTCTCTTATGTTACTTGGAAATGAAGAATATAGGAATGCAGCATTTAGAAGAATATCACGACCTTCTAATCGTTAACTGGATTGGCATACACACACAGAAAGGATGCATACATACATCTTCACACTGCACCATGTCAGGCATTTGTTCCCTCAAAACCATCAATAACCATCTTGGTTTCAGTTTGAAACTGCTTATCTTCTCACGTCACACTGCTTCACAAAGAACAGACAACAGATGCTGCAGATGCTGCTTCAGACCAACGTTTATTTAATCAGAAGTCTTGTTTTTAAATGTAAATTACAATCACTAATACACCTGCAAGTGCTTACCACATTTGTTCAACTAGGTATTATATGGACACATATACAGCATAGGTCAGTTTAAAACAATCACAGTACTTCTTAGTGCAATCTGCCAAAGGAGAAAGATCTTGGACCCACTTTGTGGAAATAAATATCAAGTGACAAAAAAGATTCATCAATTTTAGAGTTATGTATCTTACATGAAGTTCATGCATGCTCAAGAGTAAAAAGATTTAGAGTTCTTCCTTGTAATAGCCAAGCTTCGCTAGTGACATCTCTCTTCTCAGCTGCATAACTTCCCAGAACATCTGATCCACTGAAAAAGACAGAAATATCACTAGATGCAATGAATTAGGTTTTTATTTTAACTGAAATAGGCACTCTGCCTCCCTGTACATTAGTTTAAGGAAACTTCAGAAGCAACAAATTCCCTAGTTTGTTACTTCCCAGTGAAATCAGAATGAAGCTGTGCGAGCTCTCTGTGCTTGGTTTTGAAAAAAATAAATAAATAAAAGTTTGAACATTCTAGGAGATAGTCATAGTAAAAGACCAAATTTTACTTTGTTTTTTAAACGTTGATGCTTTTATTTAACTTGGGAAAAGAAATGCATCAGTGCTCTTCAGCTTCAATTAATTAGTTTCTTAACTTAATTGTTCTGCTCATTGACTCATTTTCTGTATAAAAGACTGCGAAGAGGAAGTAGAATTTGTTGGATAAGTAAAAATTGAAGGCCACTTAGTTTTATCCTTTTACCTAGACAGGAAATTTTAGCTAAATTGTTTAAATACAATCATGATTTTTTTCTTTTAGAGTGATAATAGTAAATGAAGAACAACCACAACTCTTACATGCAGTCTACTTTTCAAATTCAGAGGTGCGCAGTGTTTACACAGCCATCTTTTATATAGACTTACTGAAACCAAATAGCACACACACTTAAGCACATTTCTGATTTACTGCAGAGATAAGAGTTTAAATAGGCAGCTGTTGGATATATACTGCTATCCTGACAGTAAAAAAGCAACCAGGTAACTCTGGAGAGGAAAAATAGCAACAGAAGTAAAATTACCTTTCTCTTGTGCAGAGAGGGGAGGCAGAGCACAATGAAAAAAAATCATGCTTCACACTAGCTAATACATTTATACAGAGAGCCCTCATCAAGAAATCTTGCGATGCCACATTTGAAGATTAATTGCTTGTTTTTCAGCTGCATTCAAATAAAATTACAGTCTGGTTTAACGTTTGGGGGGTTTTGTTTGTTTGTTTTAATTAATCAGTTCTCCCTGCACAACAATCTGACAAAGAAGGGTTGACTGAATTTTCAGTGCATGAAGCGAGAGAAGATGTGTCTGTGCATTAAGGGAGGGAAGAATGTACCAGGTCAAACCAACTTAAGATTCTTTGGGGTCTCTTACCAATGCAGAATTTTTCTTTTTTTAAAAATGATATTGCTGGTTATTCCATGCATTAGATTAAAAAATAATAATAAATTAGAACTTGTTTTCAGTCTTTAACAACAAAACAATGGAAGTGGAAGGCAAAAATGATGTGGAAAGATCATAAATATTTCCATGCTTTGCCAGTCTTTTTGCCAGTCTCTATTTTTTTAAATACTGTGTAGAAAATTATCATAGCTCCACTCATTGTGGAATTTGTCTTGAATTTTCATGTGAAGGTTTTTTAAGATAGACTGAAAAGCACCATTTCTTTCTTTATTATTTTACTGAAAATTCACCAAAGTCTCACAATCACAATGACTACCATCTGCAAGTTTTAGGCACATTCACTGTACGCATTTTTTCTTCACCTTCCCCACAAAGACAGGCTGAGGGAGCTGGCCGGGAGAAGAGAAGGCTATGGGGGTGACCTCACTACAGCCTTCCAGTACCTAAAGGGGGCCTACAAACAGGAGGGGAGTCAACTCTTTACAAGGGGAAATATTGGCAGGACAAAGGGAAATGGTTTTGAGTTGAGGGAGGGAAGATTTAGGTTGGATGTCAGGGAGAACTTCTTTACAGAGAGAGTGGTGAGGTGCTGGAACAGGCTGCCCAGAGAGGTTGTGGATGCCCCGTCCCTGGAGGTGTTCAAGGCCAGGTTGGATGGGGCTCTGGGCAGCCCGGTCTAGTAGCAGATCTGGAGGTTGGTTGGCTGTGCATGCGGCAGAGCAGTTGAAGCTTGATGATCGTTGAGATCCCTTCAACCCAAGCATTCTATGATTCATTCTATGATTCTCTGATTCATATGACCAAAATGCAATGTCACTCACCATCTTGCTGCTTCAGCAGTCCTTGCTGGATGTATCGAATATACGTAAAGAAGTTGCACACAGAAGTTATCTAAACCCATATAAAAGAATGGTGGTTAACATCATTTTGTATGACGGTAGAAAAAAATACTACTTAAAATGAAATTGTGGTATATCTGCTTACCCTGTAACGACAAAAAGGAGAAATATAGTAGTAACTGCTTGAATCTCCTAATTTGATTCTATGCTTGCACGACTTGCTTTGTCCACTTAAAGCACATTTCCTACAAAACATGAAGTTTACATAAGTTAATAAACAAATCTGACATTAATGTCTAACACCTGCGTGTGTTTAGAGTGTTAATGTAATTACTTCCTATTTGCATAGGTACTCAAATCTCTGCCTTAATGTAGTAATTGCAGCTTACAAAATGGTATCATCAACTACTCTAGCTTGATAAGGACAAATTTTGTTCCAACACCAGCACATCATGATATATTCCTAATTTTACATCTTTTATCAGCATTGGTCAGGTACTTTCACATTCACAGCTTCAAGTCTGACAGTCTGGAACAGCAGGAATTCTTTAACTCCTTATATATGGAATAAGCTTTGTTTAAATAATCAGCTGACCCCAACATTTAAAATGTTTTGTTTTTTTAAATTTCCTCTTGATGTTGCATACCAAGAAAAAAAACAAGCCCCATGGGATAACAGTCAATTCACAAGTCTCTGTCAGACACATTCTAAGATCAGCTTTGTATTTATGCCCAAACTGAAATCACATTTTTACATTCAGAGTATAAAAGAACTTGAGGTGAAGGAAAACAGGTTGACTGTAATAATTCTTTCCATTATCATTACAGGAAGTGATGGCAAAATAATTACATTTACTTTTTCTGGTGTATATGCAAATATATCATACACGAACAAAGAGAGGTCAGTAGTCAGAAATTCTTCAATTCCAAATAACTCTTCCAGCATTCTTCAGGAAAAAAAAATTTTTACATCTCTCCTGAAGAGGAAGCTGCTATTAATACTATCTTAATAAATGTAAACACAGCAGGAATTTGATTTGGAATTTTTATATTGCAGCATCCCATCCCAGATGAACTGGCTTGTCAGGTATCCACTGTTCCACTGACTTGAAAAGCTTCTGGATCTCCTCCCTTTCGTCTCTATCTCAGAAAATTAGGGAGTCTTAAGAAGCAGCCACCTTTCTAAGCTCACACAGTCTCAATAACAGCCTACAAGCCCCTTTAATAGTCTGCAGCTGGTCCATAGAACCATGCAATGCAGGAGAAAACTGTAGTGTATATGATTTTCCACAGTAATTTACGAGGACTGACATTGATCCAAGAAATTGTATAGTTGCAGAAGCAAGCTGATCACAAATGGCAGTCCAGCCTTTGTGAGAAGACAGACAGATTTTTAATGCCAAGAAGAAGAGGAAAAAAAGACCTTTTCTCTTTCCAGCAATATATTTACCTTCTATACAGTGTGTTTCATCACACCAGGTTAAATGCTGGAATGACAGCTACTGCTAATGACTCAGTTCTGCACTGTACAGCACACATGCAGCTTAGTGCTTTGTTCCCCATGGGGACAATTACTTGAATCCTGTGGGGAAACCCAGCTGTATTTCATTACTACACACCACCACTGGCACCATTCAGTAACTCCTGTATGCCAAAACCTTTCTTTACTACATCACAGCTCCCTGACCTCCGCTCAATGTTTTGTTGTTGGTTTATTACCCATCTCACTAGTTTATGCATCCGTTCTTCCTGTCCCCCAGGCAATTGGACAATGAAATCATTCCTTCAGGAGCATTATTCCAGTTACTGTTATTATTTATTTATGCTGCTTGTATGTATTACGTTACCTATGAAACCATGCCCTTTAAATAAAAAGTGATTTTCACCACATAAAAACAGAAAATGCAAAGCTGCTACTCTGATTAAATGAAAGGTGAAACAGCTGTTTCCCACCCAGTGCCAGTAATATTTAAGGCAATGCACATTTGCTGTCAAATTAAGCTTACGTACTGCCTATCCCTTACCTATTACTTAACTACAAACAAGCATACAGAAGTTTTTGTCACCTCATGACAATTGCAAGAGAGAGGAAAAAGTAAATCTTGACTATCAATGTAACTAATGTAACTAAAGTACAATTTCTGCACAGGCATCTAGAAACATTAATTTTTACCCAGCCAACTACTTATGGATTACATTGGAGAATACAATACAGCTTCTTTAGAGAGAAAGCAAGAATTTCCTTTGGCATGTTAAATGTTCTCTGCCACTCAAAACCCATGAAGAAAAATGAGAATTGAAAAACAGCAGCAATGAGAAAAAAAAATTAAGTTGATCCTGATAAACACATTCTGATTTAAGTTTTCCATCAGAAAACTGAGCTCTAACATTGTTAGTTGCTTACTTCCCCCATAAAATTTTGCAAGAGCAATTCTGAAGTCTGATATTTTAATAAATATTTACAAGATTAACATATACAAATTTCAATGAGGCGATCAGTTGATAACTCTTGGATTGAGAATACAGTTCTCTCAAATGAGTCCAGATTTCCCCTCTGTCTGTTAGCTTAACATACTTTGGTCCCCCACATTCAACTGCAGAAGCTTTCACAAATCGAACAGGTTGCAAGCCAACAGGTTCAATGCTCAGAGTGTTGTTTTCAACAGCTTCCAGAACAGCTGAGGCCAACTGCAAGAGAAATGTAGAAAGCAGTTAAAAACAGCTCCATGTGATCCACTGCCTCAAAGCAGTGACACATTTCTGTCTCTGTTAAGTTGGGAACACTGAAAAAGCCAACAAACCAAACAAATTCAATTACAAATAAGCTTTTGCTTGCTTCCTACACAAGAGGCCCAATTCCTAGGCTTCAGTTGAAATTTTGCCCTCCAAATAACCCTATCCTCCCTCAGGCAAGACAACTGCCTTTACAGCAGGGAATGTATGGTTAGCATGCTAACCATATATTCAGTTATTCCTCATGCACCCAAGCAGCACATACATTTGCACACTGTTTTTGCCAGATACTGGACACGGCACAAACCTTGTGTATTTCAAAAATTGCTCTAATTTTGTGTTCTGCAGGGAAAAAAAAACAACAGCACGCAACCTCTGTAACTTGTAAAACAAAGTGAATATTAGCCCATTTTTCAGCCAAAGATTACTTCAGAAAGACATTCAAAGATTTAAGATTGAACAATATATAAAACAGACAACAGGTTACTGTGCCTTCAGAACACTGGTATTGTTAAAATATCACTTTCATAAAGGAAGTGCAACTTCCCTCAGGCTTTTTTATGTTAATTCTTTACAAAAACACACTAGAAATATGCTCATTTTACTTGACTGAACTCAATAGTTGCCCAAGATTAGTGTTTAAGTATGGACAAGAAATAGTCATTACTTGATTTAAAATAAGGTGTAATTTATTTGTTTAATACTTCTTTGTCCACGTTCTTTTGCTGCTGAGTAATATAAATATTTTTCTATTGTACTTTGAGCATTTCAAAATTAGAATGTTACTACAAAAGCACTTCATACAAAATATTCTTTCCCAATACTATTTGCTAAATGCAAAACAGGAGACTACACACACAGACAACAGGCTCCAAAGAGCTGAAGTATTACTTCAACCATTTAGATAACTGCATTTTCAATTATTCAAAAACCATAATGTGTCACTTATTAGCTACACAGCAGTTTATTCATACTCAAAGGAAAGTATGTCACTGTGCACGGCATTTGCAAGCATTAACTACACAGCTGACCTGTGCTAGAAGCTGTATTCTCTCCTTAAAGAGGAAATACAAATACAGTAACCATATTGCCACTGAAGTAGAAGAAAACAAAACGAAATTGCTGGGACAACAGGATGACCTACTTACACACAGTGCAGAAGTAATTTAAGTTAAATAGTAAGTGAACAAACATCTTAGTGGGAGAGTTTCATACAAGTGAAGAATATGGGAGAAGTGCACACACCGTAAGAGACAAATTTGAGGAAAATATACCACCTTTTTTATGTGATTTACTTAATTTCATTGGGAAAAAAAGATCAAGTCTGAGAGCATTAAAATTTGTTACTCTTAACAAAGGTATGCAATACTGCCTCCCCTTCCCCCGAAGACAGATACTGCAACTATAGCCTACAAACGCTACTTAAGAACAAAGACTAGGTACTGAAGCTGCAGCTGGAACCAGTTCCATCATGTTCCCAGCATGAGTAAAACACCATTACCTCCTCTGTACTAGGAAAGGAAGAGGAAATGGAAAAAATCACACAAAGAAAAAAGCCACATTGTTTCTTTCATCTGAAACCATATTTCTAAACTGTCCATGATAAATCACTTCAAATCCCAAAGTCTGATTCATGCAACACAAACCTCTCTTCGAGAAGACACCCAGATTGTGCCTTCCACCTGCTCTGCTTAATGAGAGAAAAACAGGTCCACAAAATTAGCTATGTTGGTCCATACTGCTATGTTGGTCCATACTGTTCATACTGTATGAACAACGGACAGTGACAGGACACCATTTCTACTAAATGGGAGCTGTGACTTAGGGGGAAACCCAGCACTCCTTCCTACAGACTTATTCTGATAGGTAGTATTAACATTGAAAGGTGTAGACAGCTTCCACCTAAGAGAGTCACATCTAGAATAGCAAATGGAGAAGAAAAACTGACTGCTTCAATGCTCCACACTAAGCTTGGGTATTTCACTGTAAACCCTCATACCCGAGTCAAACAAAATGGTAGAACTTCATACGTTGATTAAGATAGTCTACTTTTTCCATGTAACACATTTAAATAAAAAGCATCAGTGACAACACTTAGAGTACATACCTCACTTTTTGAGAAGGTTAAGCATGGAAAAATATCTTCCCGATAGATTTTGTCCAAGAATGGGCATGTTCTGTCCATAGTAGGTTCATCTTTCCATGATCTGAATTCGTTGTACAAAGATAGGTCAGCCTAAAACACACAAACATTCACAAGTTTTAAATACTGTAATTATCACACTAGTGTTGGTCACCTACAGGTACCCACAGGTAAACAGTGATCATCAGAACTGTGTTCTCTTCCACACTGTGAAAGAATACAATTATGTCCCAGCTACAAACATCTTCTCCAGTTCACTTTCCCAAGACTGTAGTACCACCTTGATTTACCCTAACTGGCTTTGAGACTGATGACACCAGCACCTTTTCCTTCCAACTGGCTGTTAAATCCCATTCCTGTATTGTAACAGGCTTGTACTCCCAAAACCAAAACCTAAAAGCTATATGAAGGGAAAGACACTGCAGGCCAAACACAGGCCAGGAAGGTTAGGGGCATCAAAAATACCATGCAACAAAAGAAAGAAAATGTCATGTAGAAAAAATGCCCCTAGAAATGGCAGGCAGTCACGGAGAACAAAGGAAAAAAACACTAAATGTACAGTCAAAGCACAGAAGACAAACAAAAAGGTTACTAAAGTGGAAAAATGAGAAGCAGATCCTAATGCTGCTCCCTCTGTGGGCTTCTTAGGTTGCTGCTCCGCTCCAGAGTACAAAGAGAATCAAAAAGAGAGAACAAGAATGAAAAGCAGTATTTTGGAAGAAAACATTTTCAGGAAAACACTAGATACCACCAACAAACAGTAATACTGCTTTCATAATATGCACCTCTATAAAGCAAATGTGACTTGAAAGTCTTGAAATATCAAAAGCAAATAATACAGATGAGAGTGTGGAAAGTGAAAACATATGCTAAGAGCTGAAATTGTTTTTTAATCCATTTTAAAAGAGCATCACTGCTTTGAACCAGCCTCTTTCAGCCTTTTACTCCTTACCACAGCTCCCCGCACTTAACCATTCTTTCACATGGAGGTTTTTTTGTGTGTGTGTTTTTTTTTTCCCCTTCCCCCTCCCTCCATGAGAAAGAACCTACAAAAATTAAACAGGCAAATTCGTTTTCCATTAGAGCTACTTGTCTTGCACTCAGGTACAATCAGGAAGAACCATCTTAATTAAACTAGTCCATAACTGTTCTGGTTGCTAAGCCACCAACCTCACTGCACAAATGAAACTCAATAGGTGTAACATGCTCCCTGAATGAGCAAGGTACTTCTCATACCTTGAAACCCACATCAGTTTGGCTTTAAAATAAATACAACCAGGAGACATCAGCAGAAAAAAAAATGCTATTTTAGAACCATACAGCACAAATCAAGAAATTGCCACGCATTTCTTAGGAACTACTGATTGTTTTCCACATCTAACAAAACTTCACCCAAAGCTATAATTTATAAAGAAGCTGCCTTGAAAAAATTACTCTGAATATAGTTTGATGCTCCTTCTTTCCAGCCTACAGTTTGCTATGCGTGTATCTGCTCTCTGTCTTAAATTGCACTTTCACTAGATCCAAGTTTTGATTACCTGCAACAGAGAAACACTTCAGCTCTTGGGAAAATAAAACAAATCCACAGATGCATTTAGCATTTACACTGGGTATAGATGTTCAGCTTATCTAAATCCTGCTCATAAATTCTAAATTAGTTAGATACGTCTATTTATCCTTGAGATCACTCATGCATACTAGGAAGGAGCTGTCTGGGATGTTGGCATGTTGGGATGGATTTTCTGCAATATATCCATTACACTGACCACTTTCTCTCCATAGGAAATTGAAACAAAATCAGTTTTTCCCCTCTTCATGCTCTTGCCCAACATTTAACAAATTTATTTAGTCAAAACCTCAGTGTTATGCTTCCAAACTAGTTAGGTTTGGAACTGGTTTCCATACCAGTTCTCCCCCTTTTGTTTGTATCTTTCTGAAGAGCAACAAAATTGATTTTAGTAAGAAAAATATCCTGAATATCACTGAGAGTAAATTAACAGGACATTTGTCTTTTTTTGGAAACATAACTATACCTTCTCTAAATCTTTAATGAAAAGACAGATAGCATAAATGCATTCAATGATGACTGGCAAAAAGAAGTATAAAACTGACCACTGTGAATCATATTACAGATCCAGTTAGCTCATCCCTCTCTCTGCTAATGACCTGCAGTGACTTAGGGCCTGCAGAACAGCATGAGAAGAAATACAGCAACGTGCCTTCATTATGTACCCCCCAATTTCCTGCAATTTGCAATTAAAAAAGCTTCCTGATATACAAATCATATATTTGTATGTACCTCAATGGGTTTTTCCACGGCAACTTTGCATCATTTTGAACACTGTTTTTTGTCCTGTTGTCACTTTGTGACAATTAGTTATTAAATTTAGTTATATATTGACCAAAATGATTTTCCTTCTAGTTTCCAGAGCCTTCTCATTACAGGAAATAATTACTACTTGTTCACCATTCATCTTCCCCATGTCACTTGTGATTATATACATTTTTGTCCTGCTTTTAGAAAGTCTCAACATGAAGAGCCCTAGTCTCCCTACACAGAAAGGCTCATATAGCTTTGATCATCCATCATGTTTTCACTACTTTATTTCAGACATGAAGGTATCATGGCTGTGTGCAGAACCTCAGCACCCTTAATTCCACTACTCATTCACCACCAGCAGGTCCAACCCTCTCACAGCTCTCAGATTGCTTTCACCAAGCTGTTGCCTCAGTATTTCCCCATTCTCAATGGCAGGAGGAGATAAACCCAAGGCCTTCCAAGGACTCCAGTGGTAACTCTTTCCTATTCTCTAATACTTTCTGACTGATAAGGTTTTCCTACACTCTTTCATCCACTATTGGTTTATAAAATGACTCTTCCTGGTGGCAGCTGGTGATGGATTTGGTTTAAAAAATAAAAAATAAAAAAATAAAAAATAAAAAAAAAAGCCACTAGGACTTGCCATTCAGTTACACTGTTGAATTTTGTTATTACTTTTTCCTCCTTTGCTTTTAATTCCTACCTTTACATTAGTAATTCCAGTATTTCAATTTTTATCGCATCCTTCCTTAAAGATTCAATGGTAAATACAAGTGAAAAATCAACACCTATTGGTACATTAGAAAAATTCTTTCATTAATGAAAAATCTCTCTACAATCGCTATTATAAGATCTAGTACCAAATTTAGTACCAAAAGATACCAAATTTACTGTGAGGAAAAACAAACCAATTAAACTGGCTTATCAGCAAAAGAAGACAATCCTCATACTTTTACCTCTTTGCAGTCTTTTACAATTGGCTGCATCATAGTAAGGTCCTGATGACTTCCACCCATAGCACTACTTGTACTCTTGTTTCTTGCGTGCCCTTTCTTAAAAGCAGTTTTTCCACCAGACTGAAACTCCTTAGTTGGAGATGTAGGTGAAGTAGACAGTACTAGTGTTTTCAGTGCCGCTACTTCAGCCTGAAGGACATCAATCTTGAAAACAAAAATACAAAGTCATTAACAAACAAAAATATCGTACTTGTGGGCTGATGTTAAATCATTTCATGACTTTTCCAGTAACTTCTGTTCAAATCAAGACTTCATTTTCCAGCAGTGCTAACAAGAGATCTCTTTGTTACTGCAACATTAACTGGTTTCTTGCACACCTTGCTAGTTACCTAATGCGATGCTGCATCCACTGGTGTTAGCTAAGAACACATGGCAACACAGAACGAGTCAATTCATATTTTAATAATCTTTCCATCATTCACATTTCAGCTGAAGGTTCATGTAAAAAGACAAAACAAGCAAGTTGGAAATAAACTCACCTTCCCCTGTGCTTCTTTTAACTGTTTTTCTGCTGCAGCTTGTTTGACATTAGCTTCTTTAACCATTTTGTGTGCTTCCTGTAAAAAATGTTTAGCTGGAATAAATGTTTCACACCAATTTACAAGTTTAACAACAAAAAAAAAAATACCTAAGGAGTTGCATCATACTTTTGCTTCACTGCAATTACTTGTAAATAAGTTGTGCAACAATATGCTGAATCTAAACAGTTACAAACCAAAAAATAGCCGGAAATCTATAATCTGGATTCCTCACTGCACCAGCAAGTCCTTTCTCCTCGGTCCAGAGCCGAGATGCAGATATTCAACGACTCCCTCCGCTGTCAGCCAACCTCCTCCCTCCCCCCCAACAAAAACAATACCTGTCATGAATGCCAGCCTCTGGACACACTTCAGCAGCTGACCATTGAAGTTTCTTGACCCCCAGGGGAAAGACTCAACCAGTAGCAACAAAAGCAACAAGGGCACATTCAGAAGAATTTCTCTCTCCTAGCCAGAATAACCAGTTTTACTCAAATGCAGAAGGAACTGGTCAAACAACTCAAGCCTGAAGTTTCACCATTAATAAAAATGTAAAGTAAAGGATTAAAAATAATTTATGGATTAATAAACATTTCTTAAGTAGAACAGAAAATGCACTAGAAACCAATCTGAGTACACAAGCAGGACTAAGCTAATAACAAAGCATAAAAGGATTGGGATTTTCTCAATTTTTGTTTTTCCCAAACATCATTTTACGTCAGACTTTTAAGCCTTTTGTCTGGGTAACTTATTTGTTTTGGCTCTGATCCAGCAATTTGCACCCATGATCCAATCTTCTGTTCATATTTGATACTTAACAAAGGCCAAAAAAAAAAAAAAATGAAAGGAAAGATCAGGGCCACCAACCAAATCACCTGAGGTAGGACCCTTCTCATATCTGTAAAGCGCCTAGCACGTGTCTGGACACTATATAAATAAAACAAAATGTTCATCCATAGTGATACCAAAAGATCTGGCTGCCAGTGGCAAATGACACAGCTGTACAGTATGGGTCTCTAAAATTCTCTTAAGTAACATACACATGCAGGAATGAGAACATACACATTTATACAATGTGTACAAATACATTTAACATTGACCATGCAGTTTCTGTTTAGTGATGCATCTTGGAAAGCAAAGCATGTTATATGTGGAAAAACGTAACATATAGAACCAGCTGTGTAAAACAAGTCTTGATCCTCAGCTGAGCTGCATTAACATCAGCTCCACATGCCAATTTAGGCAGCATCTTACACAGTCACTGAAATTAGTGGGATTCAGTATAGAATTGAGTCCTAGGACTACAGATTCCACTGTAAAAGTGAAGAAACCTCAGCACTGTGTTTTACTACAGACTCTTGGTGAAAACATACCACAAAAGAGAATTTAAATGACGTGCCCACAACAGCTGGGAGTTCTGAATAATTAAAACTCATTAAATAATCATTACCAGTGTGTTACATTTCACATGTAGCTTTCCCAAATTGATTAACTGCTTTAAGTTAAATGGATAACATCAGTTTTATTCCTCTACAGTTAAAATGCCTGCCCAGCATTTTCCTCCCCCCAATATACACAAATATTTATACTAAAAAAACTAGCCTTCCAGTGTTCCACTTACACTGGTTAATATTTATAACACTTAATATTTTTAGTAGCTTTGCACTACTGGGATGATGAAATAAATTGCTCTGCCAATCCACAGAGCAGTTTGCAATTCTATTTATGAATGCCAACACTTTCCAGGTTTTGACAGCACTTTTGTAGCATTACAACATCAACAATGTTGTTTCTAAATCATGTTTTCTCTTTATGCATATGCTGAAAACCAAGACCTTCAATTTGGTAAGCAAAAAGTATAACTGATTTATGAAGTTTATGCAAACAGGTATGCCTCCATTCAATGAGAAAATGATAACTAATCTTGTTTCAAGTGGTGGATTTAAGATTTTTGTTTAGTTGGTTGATGCAAGCTCACAATCTTTGCTGGCATCACTGCCATTTTCTCAGAAGAAAAGATCCCACTTAAAGTTCAAGGCGTTTCAGATTGCAACCAGGCGCCACCCCGGTGCATTATTCAGTTTGTCTTCAAACTTGTGGGTGTAACATGCTGCCAGACCCAAAATTCAAAAGCTGAAAACATGGTCGAGTTCTACACTATGTTCCACCCTCTATTAATCGGGAACTATGCTATTTTGTATTTAATCACCATGACAACCCCAAATTTAGCTCTTATCTAAATAGCCTCGTTGTCAGACAGAAGCTGCATCAAAACAGTTATGCCAAAAAATAAGCCTAAATGCTTTCAAGCTTTCTGATACATTTTCCTTATTTTTTTCATTTTGTGCCAAGGCAAACTGACAAGCTCAACAAAGTCTCTCATCTGACTGAAAAGCCTACTACTTGCTCTTAAGTTCTCTACCACCACACCCGGGACTTTAGAACAGAAATCCCTTTATAAGCTTATTGCAGAGAAATTGCATGAAAAACACTGATTCTATATAAAACATCTGGCTCAGCTTCCTTGAAGTATATCACATCGAAGACTCCAACAAACCTCAAACAGACTAGCTGTAAGTTCTTCCAATTCCTGTCCAAGTTGATCTCGCACTTTAGAAAGCCTTTCACATTCTTCATCTTTTAACTTCAGCTCCTATGGAAAATTAAAAGTTGTTTATTCTGACTTAGAGAAGTAATTTGGCCTCTTAAAGCTAACACCACAGAGAAGGGGGGGAAAAAAAAGGGAAAAAAAAGATCAGAGGGAAACAAAACCCTTTGCTAAACAAAGCCTTTCAACACATTCATCTTAAAACTAGAAGCAGTTAAATTAATGCTGTACATACATAGCTATTTCTTCCTCTGTGCAGCAACGTCTACAGTATCTCTAACCTGAACGTCAGCATTTCCAAATTTCTAAGAAAAAAAAAAACAAAACAGAAAAGCAGCTTTTCTTTTCCCGAAAGTATAGAAGACTTAAACATAGGACAGAATATCAGTTCTATTTACCTATTCCTTAACAGATACTTAATACACAAGTACTTGATTTTATTGGGTGTGGGAGTTGGTTGCTTTTTTTTTTTTAGTTTTTTGTTCGTTTTCAAAATACCCTCATCTCAAGATGATTCCCAATTCCCTTACAATCTTAAAACATGATGGAAATAGCAGCTCCCTTCTAGGTCTCCCTGTAACTAACACAATTACAAAGCCACACTGTAATTATATCCTTACTCTCATTAATGAAGATGCATAAATCAAATGAAAGTAGCTTATGAAATTCAAACTACGTTTTTTGTCTCTGACATCACTTGAATGAAAAGGGCCTGACCATGAATCAAAGTAAGATCTCAGCACAGATTTGGCAGCATAAGGGTTAAACATGCCCAATCTTGTCTGTATTTTCTTAAGTCTGAGGGAAAAGGGGGAGTATTTTTTCAGGAATACAAAAAGTTTGACAAGTCTGGGAGAGTTCCCCTTTAAACACCCATTAAACACTGGAAGATGTAGCAGGAAAGAGAAGGACAGGGAAAAAGAAAAAAAAGCAAGGGTAAGAAAAGCAGAAAGCAACCCATTCTGACCTTCAAGCATTCCTTTTGCCCACAACTCCTCTCCCATCCCCAGCCCCAATCTAGACCTTCTCCCCCTTCTTCTCCCCTGCCTATCTTGCTACTACACTCCCATCACTCCCAAGACTGATCCAAGCCTGTCACTGACACTTCAGAGATTCCAAATAGAACCTAGCAATCGTTTGCTTCCAAAACTGTAGAAACAATTAAAGAATACACCTGCCTTCAGAAACCGCTGGCAGGCCAGTTTCTAGAGGCATAAAAAGGCCAAAACGTCAGCTTCTGTATTTTCCTGCAAGGCATTTCTCCCAAAGTTATTGTGACTGAGTACTGTGCACACAATAATGTAGCAAATCAAATCTTGCCTTACAGCAGGCTCTCTATTTCTGCAGCCAAACTGGTAGCAATTTTCCTCTAGGGTGAAGATCCTCCTGCCAAACTTCAGCTCCTAAATTTGACAAGCGTTTGGGGGCTGTTCAAGACCTATGTATTGTAAAATAAATTATTTATTCCTTTTATTTGTTTTCAACTATGGACACTTTGATCAAATTTTATTCCAGTTTGCTATTTTGATTTTTTGCTTTCCATGTGGCCTTTTAGCTGTTATAAAAAAGTATCACTAAAACATTTTTTTGGGGGGAGGTTCTAATTTCTCCAGTATTTCACACATAAGGCACATTTGCTAATAGAAACGAAAGATTCTGATACAAAATGCTTCAAGCTCAAGTTTCACATGTTCCTATAAACACAACAAATACATCTTTTTAGCTAAAAATACTTTTTAGCTCTTTGGTTTATTTCACTGATTTATTAGGAATATGCTACGTACATCTGAAACACAGAAGTGCTACAAGACATTGTAGAAGGAGATTGGAATAAGATTCAGGTCAAAACTTGTCAAACTCACGTAGGCAGAACTACCCTTGTTCTATCTCTATCAATACACTATTTTAGGTGAGACTGTTGCAGCCTTGCTTGTAACTGGAAAGATCAGGGAGAGGCCTAGATTAAAATTTAGGCAGACAAGTAAAGCTACTTAATGAAAGCAAAAAGGAGACAACAGCATGCTGTCTATTGCACTTAGCAGCTTAGCTACATTTCTCAAATATGGGGCAAATTCCTGCAACATGATCTGGGAGGAATATAATGTCACCTTATTTTGTCAAATAAGTTTAATAGCTGAGGCTGATGTGGTTTTTTATGCAGGGAAAAAAAAATAAAGAGTGCTCAAATAATCAAAAGCTATTGGAGCCATTGCTACTGCTTGTGCCTTAAAGTCATCACTGAACACAGCCTTAGAGAACAGACAACTGTGTGCAATAAGTTTGCCCCCATGCTGCAGTCCTTCCAACATTGCTGTTCTGAAAAAGTAACTACATGAAGAAAAAAAAAAAGAGCTATTATAAAGCAAAATACACACAAATACAGAAGCAGGTGATAAAAATTTCTAACTTGCAGGGCAAAAAGCCCACTTATATATATATTTATATACATATATATACACATTCCTGTTATCAAATAGTCATATTATTGCTTATTTCACTTTGATTTTCATGATAAGAATGCAGGTTGGTTCTCTAGAAAGAAGCAATAAGAAACACAAATTGCTGCTTCAGAACAATTAACGCTTTGAATTCTAGAAAGAAAATCATCCTGGATCAAGCTCAACAATTTAAGCAAGTCACCACTAGATGCAGAAGATAAGAGAGCAAAAAAAAAAATTATATACATATCACCTAAAATGAGAGCTGTGGAATACTGCTGAAGCAGCCAAGAGGGTAAGCTGTACTCTAGGATGCATCAGCTGCAGCACAGTCAAAAGTGGTGATTCTCCCAATGTATTTAGTGTTTGCATGGCTCCCTTGGAGTACTGTGCACAGTTTCTAGCTCCGTGTTTCAAAAAGAGATGCAGATAGTTCAATGCATCCAGAGGAGGATGCAAAAAAGTTCATAGGTCAGAAGGCACGTCCCAAGAGGAGCAGCTGAGGACAATGGGTCTGGTAAGCTCAGGAAAAAAGAGCCTAAGACATGGCCTCATTGCTCTATGCAGCTTCCTAAGGAGGAGTGGAGAGAGTGAAGCACCCAACTTCTCCCTGGTATCCAATGACAAGATATATGGCACTGGCTCAAGCTGCATCAAGGAGGTTCCTGCTAGACATGAGGAAAAGCACTTTAGCAAGAGGAGGATAGTCAGACATTGGAACAGACTTCCAGCAGTTGCTTCTTGCCTCAATGCCTGTCTATGGCATTCAAATAACATTCTTAATTATACCTTTAACAGTGGGTCAGTTCAAAAGCAGTCTGACAGTCGGGCTCCACCTTCACAGGCACCCTTCCAACTGAAACTGTTATCTCTTCAGAGGTAACGACTTAAGAGGCTCCTGAATCATTTGGTCCTACGCTGCCAGTGAAGACGTTTCTTTTGCTTGCATGTAAACTTCCACTAGCCAAAGAATAAACCTGTTATCTGCAGCATGATGCTATACCAGCTTAAGGCAGAGGTATGGAAACAAGCCTTTCAACACATAAAGACAGTGAAGAACAGCTACAACTCATCTTTAGCAGTCAAAAGCTAGAGGTCTTCTGCAATGTTTTAATAAAGCTTGAAAACACTCTTTGGTGGAGTTCTGGGATGTTATTTTATGCTAGAGCCCTTCTCATTTTTACTCTTGTTAGTTCACAAGCAAATGACTGGAGAAATTTAAGAATGCCAGATGTTCCCCTACAATGCTACCGGAATTCCTTAGTAGTTATTGTGAATATATTTACCCATGAACCCATACAGAGTTTGCAAAATAACATGTTTGTCTACGAAAAAAATAAAAGATTTAGCCACTAGCATTAGTCTACTCAGAGACACTATAGCAGAAGCAATCAGCTCTGCACTCTACTTCAAACCCTGTGGTAACACATAAGATCTGAAGACAAACAATGCTAAGTACTCTACTTTGATCTTATGACAGGAAGAATACATACAGAAACTGAAAGCTCTGGAACAAAATCCAGATCTGAGTACCATGGTCAAAAAAAGATACGTTGAAATCGACAGTGCCATGTTCTATACTGTTACTCTTTCATGAGAGTCACTTCATCAGTGCAAGAAAACCTCTCAGTTTGATTCTTCCTAGGGAAATAACAATAATGCAGATTTCTGCTACAAAAATCATAAACGGCTTTGCTGCCAACAAGCCTACAGATCTCATTCTAAAGACAGTGGAAAGCATGGAATTCATCCTCAGGGTATGATATTTACAGTCATCTCTGGTAGACTGCTCTTCCATCCAGCAAGAAGGAGCAAACTAGTAGTAAGAGCTGGAGACTTCAACATTTCAAGAGAAAACATCAAACCTAAGTTTGTCTCTGTGGTTATGGATAGCATAATTACACTGATGGTCAGTGATGAATTTCATGGCCAAGTCGCACAAAAAAATTGAAGGAAGACATGACCATGAGCTGCCACAGCTCAAAAACTGTAAGTGAGCAATCTGAAGCACAGGTGATGTGCTTGTTACTTCATCTGAAAGACAAACAGAAGGTGTCCTATGGCAAAGGCTCCACTAAACTTGCATGTCAAGAAATTCCGTAAAGCAAAATACCACCACTTTTCTCTCAATGTTACCTAGATGTGGTTTATTTACTTTCAATAACCATAGGGTTATGTCTCAATCATAGCTGAAGAAAAAGAATAAAGAAACATACAGAGACTTGAGGAGATGCACTCCCAGGCATTGAATCATTACATATTTCAACACCTCAATTTTCCTGATGCTGTTTAAAAAGAGTAACAAAACACACAACAAAGTTCAGATCATTGGAATGGGCACTTCAGCTCCATTTGACACAGAGTGCAGCCAGAAGGTAAGCCTACATTGGAAAAAGAAAAAAAAAGAAGGCCTGAATGGGCTCAGCAAAGGGTGAAAAATCTGCCAAGTTTTAATAACTAGAAACTACGCTCAGGCAAAAGGGCACCCAACCTTACAC